CTCTTCTCTTTCAACAATATCATGTTATTTCTGGTGTCATTTTCTGTGTCAATTTCCTGCCCCACCTCACACTGTGCTTCATCCTCTATAGATGGTTAACTCTACAAACATAGAAAAAAAGACTGTCCCTGCCCTGGAGACTGCTACAGCTGCACAATGAAGCTCCAATCCGGATATATTTACTACAGTATTACGCCTCTTCTGTTACGTCTATTCATCTTCCCCCATGGAATATTTTCTTTTCCCATTGGATTTTGTCCCTAGACCTTGCTCAAGGGCTCCACTTTTGCAGACTCTAGGTAATATATGTTTGGTAAGTTTATAGCTCTCACCCCTGCACTGGCAGTTGGAAGAACAAAATAGCTCTGTTTCCCGACTCTGCCCCCAAAGCCCACTGGCTGTTGTGAGGATGGTGCTGTCTAACCTAGTCTATCTACGGACCTACCCACCACAGGCAAGTTAATTTTGCAAGCTCTGCTGATGAAGGTGCTATCACTGCTTTACAGAAGTCTCATTAAAATGGTCTATTGTTTAGTCTCATTACAATTTATTTTAGATTCATTAAATGCAAACATGTATAAAAGGCTTGAATCTCTCTCTGTATATATACACGTGGATGACGGAGTGATGTCATCTTGCCCTCCCTCCACCCTCAGCTGCATGGCCCTCCCCCTTCTCCTTCCCTCGTGCTCCAGGGAGCTGCAAGCCTGCCCCTCGCCCATGCCCTAGGGAGCCATGAACCGTGAGGCCTCTCCCTTCTCGATGCTCCTCTCTCTGTCCCTTCTTTCCTTTCCCAGTTCTCCTTCAGCCCCAGTTCATTCACCCTGAATCCTTGCTCTCCCTTCCAGTTCCTGCCCTCTCAACAACCCCGTACCCTTTCAGCTCAAGGCACACATCTTTCCTTGGCATTAGCAGTAGGGTTGCCAGATGGCTTTGACAAAAATACCGGAAAACATCTCATATGGGGGGAGGGGAGAACCGGCCACTGGGGAAGTGGGGCTGGTCAGGAGGGGGTTGGGGAGAGAGGGGCTGGCAAGCGA